GGCCCGGCCCGGCCCCGCTCCGGCCGCAGCCTCCCCGCGCTCCGCCCGGCCCCGCGCCGGCGCTGCTGTGTCACCGGAGGGGCCGGGCCTGCGCCGGGAAACGGGAATTAAAGGCACCGGGAGCGGGAACGGAGCGGGGATGGAGCGGGAACGGAGCGGGAACGGAGAGGGGATGGAGGGGGGATGGAGAGGGAATGGAGAGGGAAGGGAGTGGGGATGGAGAGAGAATGGAGAGGGAATGGAGAGGGAATGGAGCAGGAATGGAGAGGGAATGGAGAGGGAATGGAGAGAAGATGGTTTGAGAATAGGATCTCGGGAAACTGAGGCAGCACTGGGGGCAGTCCCTTGGGATCTGTCTCTCTTTTCCTGCTTTTTCCCCCGTCTTTCAAAGATGCTCCCTACAACTCCACACCAGGGGGATTTGGGGATTATTTTTGTGGGATCTGGGAAAAACTCAGATGGGATGGGGGAGAGAGATCCCAGAAAAGGGAAACATCCATGGAGAGATGGATGGATGATGGATGGATGGATGGATGGATGGATGGATGGATGGATCGGGGCAGGATTGGTGCAGGGAAAAGCTGATCCTGATCCCACAGCCTGGGACTCTGGGAATGACGTCCTGGATCATTTGGGATCACTGCAGGATTTAGAACAACATCCTGATCCTTTGGGATCACTGAGATTGGGAATAACGTCCTATCCCTTGGGATAGCTCCCCCTCCCATCCCTCCCTGTCCCTCTCTCCCCTCCCCTCCCCTGGCCTACCCAGGGGTGACCGAGGGACCTTCTCGGGGACACGTGGAGGGTCCGGGTGGGCGCGTGACCACTGGCGGTGTGACAATGGCAGTGTGACAATGGCAGTGACAGTGTCAGTGTCACAGGGTCAGTGTCACAGCGTCAGTGTCACCGTGTCACATGCGTCACTGTCACAGGGTCAGTGTCACAGTATCACAGTGTCAGTGTTCCCAGTGTCACCAATGTCAGTGTCACAGTGTCAGGGTCATCGTGTCAGTGTCACAGGGTGTCTCACAGTGTCACACGTGTCAGTGTCCCCAGTGTCACAGGGTCAGTGTCACCAATGTCACACTTTCAGTGTTACCGTGTCGGTGTCCCCGTGTCGGTGTCCCCGTGTCCCCAGAGCAGCGCCAGCCCGCGAGCCGCTGTGCGAAGGGGACACCTGGTGGTGGCACTGCCTTGTCACAGCCAGCCCCGCTCGAGACAGCCCGCGACACGCGACTGCCACCCAGTGCCACCTGCATGGGGACACCCAGTGCCACCACCTCCAGGATATCCTGGGAGAAGGGGTTGGGATGGGGATTTTGGGGTCCCTCTGTGTCCCCACATTCCCCTGACAATGTCACTTTTGGGGACACCCTCGAGGCCATGGAATTCCGGAATTCCCAGTTGGGAATCCCAAGGGCCGGAATGGGGACAGGGCCAGGTGCCACCCCTGGGCCGGTGTCTCCATGTCCCCAAAATCCTGGAAAAGGGATCCCAATCCCAGCTGGTGGCTTGGGGCTGGGTGGGAACAGCCTTGGAGTGAGGAATGGCAATTTAATCCAAGGAAAACATTCCTGGAGTAGGGAGCAACAAAAAAGGGGTCTGGGAATCCCAAACCCAGCCGGGATTGAGGCAAGAACACACAAATACCAGGAATTTAACCATGGAAAACACTCCTGGAGTGGGGAACCCCAGAACTGGGATCTGGGAATCCCAAATCTGGCCGAGATTGAGGCAGGAACACTCAAATCCCAGGAATTTAATCCATGGAAAACATTCCTGGAGCTGGTGTGTCTCAAAAAAACCCCAAACAGGATCTGGGATAAAAGCAGAGCCCCAGATCCATTCCCTGTTTTCCCTCAGGACAATCCCACACCCTTTTCGTGGGAAACGGAAATTCCATTTCCCTCTTTCCCAGCAGCCCCAGATTTGTGGGAATGTGGCTGGAAGAGGCTCCTCCATGCATGGAATGTGGGAATTTTATCCCTGGGATCTCGGGGATTTTTCCCATCCTTAAAATCAGATTGGTGCCTGGATCAGTGCCAGGAGCAAAGAGTGGGGACAGTTTCACTCCAGAATTCCCAGTTTTCCCTCTGCTTGGGATGGGTTGGGAAAAGCAGGGTAGGAGGAGAACAGGAAGCAGCTGGAATTTTATCCCAGAGCAGCTTTATTGAGGGGAGAGATAAAAAACCCGGGATTTTAAGCCCTCATTACACCAATAATTACACAATAAATTACCTCATTACACAATAAATGAACCTCAATCCCAATCCCAAGGAATTCCCTGCTCCAGCTGCTGATGGTGGATCCCAGAGGGGATCCCACCCTTGGGATCATCTCCCCACCTTTGGGGGGCTCGGGAAGGGGATCTGCTGTCAGGGATCCCAACTCCCATCCCAAATTTTATTTTGGGATCGACCCAGATGGGATTGAAGAGGAGAAGAACATTCCCAGGAAATCTCAAAGCCTCGAAGCGGAGATGCAGCAGATCCAGGTGGGATTTGGGGCCACTCAGGAACACCAGAGCTCAGTCCAGGAATAAATCTGGGATTGTCCAAGAAGAGGAAAGCCCAGAGGAAATCTTGGAATGGGAGGCTGGGAATTGCGGGATGAGGCCAGAGGATCCCATGGGACGTCAGCAGGGAGGCGGCTCCGGTGTCACCGTCACCAGCACGGTGTCCTCGTCGCTGTCGTCCGAGCTGCAGATGATGATGCTGCTGCCCTCTGCAAGGGAAATCCCAAAATTCCAGATCCCATGAGATCAACGTTCCCGAGCTTTGCACCAGGAACCAAACAGAGCGTGGAGGCAACCCCTGGAATGGTGGTGACTACATGGATCCTGAATTCCATGGATCCCTCATCCCACGGATCCTGAATTCCATGGATCCCTCATCCTATGGATCCCTCACCCTGTGGATCTCCCACCCCATGGATCCTTCATATGGATCCTTCATCCCATAGATCCTTCATCCCATGGATCCTTTACCCCATGGATCTTTTATCCCATGGATCTTTTATCCCATGGATCCCTCATGCCATGGATCCCTCATGCCATGGATCCTTCATCCCATGCATCCCACACCCCATGGATTCCTCACTCTATGGATCCTGAATTCTACAGATCCCTCACCCTTGGATCCCTCATCCCATGTATCCCTCACCCCACGGATCCTTCAGCCCATAGATTCCCTCCTCCCACAGATCCTTCATTCCATGGATCCTAAATTCCACGGATCCTTCAGCCCATGGATCCCTCACCCCACGGATCCTTCAGCCCATGCATCCCTCATCCCACAAATCCCTCATTCCATGGATCCTTCATCCCATGGATCCCTCACCGGTGGATCCCAGAGGGGATCCCACCCTTGGGATCATCTCCCCACCTTTGGGGGGCTCGGGAAGGGGATCTGCTGTCAGGGATCCCAACTCCCATCCCAAATTTTATTTTGGGATCGACCCAGATGGGATTGAAGAGGAGAAGAACATTCCCAGGAAATCTCAAAGCCTCGAAGCGGAGATGCAGCAGATCCAGGTGGGATTTGGGGCCACTCAGGAACACCAGAGCTCAGTCCAGGAATAAATCTGGGATTGTCCAAGAAGAGGAAAGCCCAGAGGAAATCTTGGAATGGGAGGCTGGGAATTGCGGGATGAGGCCAGAGGATCCCATGGGACGTCAGCAGGGAGGCGGCTCCGGTGTCACCGTCACCAGCACGGTGTCCTCGTCGCTGTCGTCCGAGCTGCAGATGATGATGCTGCTGCCCTCTGCAAGGGAAATCCCAAAATTCCAGATCCCATGAGATCAACGTTCCCGAGCTTTGCACCAGGAACCAAACAGAGCGTGGAGGCAACCCCTGGAATGGTGGTGACTACATGGATCCTGAATTCCATGGATCCCTCATCCTATGGATCCCTCACCCTGTGGATCTCCCACCCCATGGATCCTTCATATGGATCCTTCATCCCATAGATCCTTCATCTCATGTATCCTTTACCCCATGGATCTTTTATCCCATGGATCTTTTATCCCATGGATCCCTCATGCCATGGATCCCTCATGCCATGGATCCTTCATCCCATGCATCCCACACCCCATGGATTCCTCACTCTATGGATCCTGAATTCTACAGATCCCTCACCCTTGGATCCCTCATCCCATGTATCCCTCACCCCACGGATCCTTCAGCCCATAGATTCCCTCCTCCCACAGATCCTTCATTCCATGGATCCTAAATTCCACGGATCCTTCAGCCCATGGATCCCTCACCCCACGGATCCTTCAGCCCATAGATTCCCTCCTCCCACAGATCCTTCATTCCATGGATCCTAAATTCCACGGATCCTTCAGCCCATGGATCCCTCACCCCACGGATCCTTCAGCCCATGCATCCCTCATCCCACAAATCCCTCATTCCATGGATCCTTCATCCCATGGATCCCTCACCCCATGGATCCTTCATCCCACAGATCTGCATCATCCCCACCCTTGGTCAAGATTCCCATTGAATGGGGGGGCAGAAAGGCCGGTAAGGATCCCATGGGATGAGGAAAAGCGGGATAATGATGACAGTGACATTCCTGGTGCCCACCTGTGTCACCGACACGGACGCAGTTGTGCTGTGACGTGGAGGGGCCGGGCTCCGTCCGGAATTCCCACTGGAATTTGGGATGGCTGGGACCCGGCTTGTGGTCACATTCCAGCTTCAGGATTTTGGGAGACATCTGGCTGCCCCTCTCCACGCTGGGCAGCGGCCGCTTCTTCCAGCAGGGGAGTGAGAAAGGATGGAAAAACGGGATTGGGATTGGGGTGGGATTGGGACTGGGATCCCAGCAGATCCCACTGGGATGGGATGGATGGGCCTCACCTGCTCCACGTGGATCTCCTCGACGCTGGGGGAGATGCTGTGGGGTTTGGGATGGATTGGATCCTCTTCCTGCGGGAACAGCAGGGAGTTAGGATGGACTTGGGTCCCAGTGGAGTGGTGGGAACACCCTCGGGAATGGGGAAACTGAGGCATGGAGGGTTTGGGATGGGTCTGGGGGCTGCTCCCATGAATTCCCCAGGGATGGAGCAGTGCTCGGTGGGATGTGGGAATTTGTGGGTGAGGAAAAGCCTGGAATACTGGGATGGGGAGGGAAAGGAGAGGTGCAGGTTTGGGATGGGGCAGGAGCACCCCGATGTCTCACCAGGTTGTTCTCCAGGGCCACCTCGACCTCGGAGACATCTGGGGATGGAGAAAACCAGGATGAGACCTTGAGCCAGAGCTTCTGGAGCCGGGAAGATCCCACCCGGCAGCTCCAAACCCCTTCCCTGGGATTGGGGTGGCCCTGGGGGCTTGGGAGGCTCTGGGGAGCCGGGAATGAGCGTCCCCAGAGCCACCGGGATGGGGGACACCCAAAGGGGCTCCACAAAAACAATGGAGCAAATCCCGGCTCTGGGAGGGTGAGGAGCTGGAGCAGGGAAACAGGGGAAAGGAGGAGGAGGAGGAGGAAGGAGGAGAAGTAGAAGGAAGGAGAATAAGGGAGAGAAGGAGAAGGAGGAAGAGGAAGAAGTGGAGGAGGAAAAGGGGAAGGAGAAGAAAAAGAAGAAAAAAAGAAGAAAAAGAAGGAGGAGAAGGAGAAGAAGGAAGGAGAACAAGGAGAAGGGGAAGAAGGAGGAGGAGGAAGAGGAGCAGGAGGGAGAAGAGGGGGAGGAGAAGGGGAAGAAGGAGAAAAAGGAAAACAAGAAGGGGAAGAAGGAGAAGAAGAAGCAGAAGAAGAAGACGACAAAGAAGAAAACGAAGAAGAATCCAGCCCTGCCCCTGCCCACGGAGGGTGCTTTGCAGCCGGCCCAGCCCTCACCTGGCCGCCCCGTGACTCGCTCCACCAGCGCCCGCAGCCGCGCCCGGCACTCGGCGAAGTCGGGGGGCTCGCGGAGCTTGGGGGGCTCGGGCGGCCGCAGCCGCCGCAGCTCCATCAGCGCTCCCTTGACGAAGGGCTGCATGTCCATCAGCTCCTGCTCGCCGCCGTAGCGCCCCAGCCTCTCCACCAGCCTCTCGGCCGCCTCCAGCCGCAGCAGCGTGCCCTCGGCTCCGCGCAGCTCCTCCGCCAGCGCGCTCCGGCCGCGCTCGGGCCGCGCCTCCAGCAGCGCCTGCAGCTCCTCCGCCTCGCTGCGCACCAGCTCCTGCAGCCGCTCGGCGCTGGCGCGGACGCGCTCCCGCAGCCGCTCCCGCTGCTCCTCCCACCGCGCCGCCTCGCCCCGCAGCCGCGCCAGCGCCGCCTCGAAGGAGCGGCGGAGCCGCTGCAGGTCCCGGCGCAGAGAGCGCAGCTCGTCCTGGCGCCGGCGGCTCTCGGCGCGGAGGTCCCGGAACGGAGCGTGGCGAGTGTCCAGCAGCGCGCAGGGACAGCACAGAGCCCGCTCGCAGCGAGGGCAGTAGATGCTGGCAGGGGGGACACGCGGTGGCATCAGGGACATGCGGGGGTGGGTACAGCCGGGAGCTGCTCCGGGGGTACCGGGATTGGCTCCCGGGATGGGGGGCATGGACATGGATCAGGGATGGACAGGGGTCAGGGATAGACAGGGGTCAGGAATGGACACAGGGCAGAGATGGACAGTGGTCAGGGATGGACAGGGGTCAGTGATGGTCAGAGGGCAGTGATGGTCAGCAATCAGTGATGGACAGGAGTCAGGGATGGACACAGGGCAGGGATCTACAGCAGTCAGGGATGGACAGTGGGCAGGGATGGACACTGGTCAGTGAAGGTCAGCAGTCAGTGCCCATTCCAGGACATCCCAGGCCATGCCCAGCCCCCTCTGGAACCTTTCCCCAGATCCCTGCTGGAGCTCCCTTGGCTCCCGGGGTCTCTGAGGGGTCACTGCCATCAGTCCCCAAACACAGGGGACAAAATCCCCTCGGCAGAGCTTTGGGGACAGGATGGGATTTGGGAACAGGAGGGGATTTGGGAGCGGGGTGAGATTTGGGATGGGGGAGATTTTGGATGAGGTTTGGGGATGGGAGAGATTTGGACACAGGATGAGATTTTGGCCCATCCCACTCATGCACATTCCAGGCTGGAGCATCATCCCCAAACGTCCTGAAGCAGGGTGGGATTTGGTGACAGGAGAGGATTTGGGGACAGCATGAGGTTTGGGTACAGGATGAAATTGGTGGATGGGGGGACATTTGGGAGCAGGGCGAGATTTGGGGACAGGATGAGATTTGAGGACAGCATGAGCTTTGGGGACAGAACGAGTTCTGGGGACAGGACAAGGTTTGGGAATGGGATGAGATTTGAGGACGGGACGAGATTTGGGGCCACGGCAATGTTTGGGGACAGGCTGAGCTGTGGGGACAGCGTGCGATTTGGGGACAGGACAAGTTTGGAGGACAGGATGAGATTTGGGGATGGGATGAGATTTGGAGACAGGACAATATTTAAGAACAGGACGAGGTTTGAGAACAGCACGAGGTTTGGAGACAGGAAGAAGTTTGAGAACAGGACGAGATTTGAGAACAGGACGAGGTGTGGGGACAGGACGAGGTTTGAGAACAAGACGAGGTGTGGGGCCAGGACAAGATTTGGGGCCAGGCCGAGGTTTGGCACCACGCCCACCCCGGGGCCCAGGCCGAGGTGCTCCCACCTGCACACGCGGCTCTCCTCGGGGTGGCTGGCGCTGGAGCAGAAGAGGCTGCAGGAGCCGCGCGTGTCCTCCAGGAACTGCCGCGCCGAGCCCGCCCGCAGCTCCTCCACCCTGCACACCCGGTGCGCCTTCTTCTTGTGCCACCACTGGTGCTCCTCCAGGCAGCGCCCGCAGAAGAACTCCTCGCAGTCCGAGCACCACACCAGCGCCGCCTCGGCGCGGCAGCGGCTGCAGCCGGGCCCGCCCGAGCTGCGGATCTGCCGCCAGAGCTGCAGGCGGCTCCGCAGGTTGCAGAAGAGCAGGTTGTCCACGGCGGGCGCGCCCGTGGCCGCCTGGCAGCGCGGGCACTGCTTGGTGTCGCTCAGGCAGGCCGGGCACAGCGTGTGCAGGCAGCGCAGCAGCCGCGGCTGCGCCGAGTCCTGCCCGCAGCCATCGCACCGCAGGAACTGGAAATCTTCGTCTTCCTCTTCAGCCTCATCCTCGCCCTCCGCGGGATGGGACGGAGGGGAGGCGGGAGCGGCGGGGCCCGGCTCTGGGGGAAGCTCCGGTTCCGGTTCTGGCTCCGGTTGCGTCTCCATCTGCGGAGATGCGGGATTGTCCCGTGGGATGGAGGAAGTTTGGGCTCGGCCCCATAAATCGCGCCCGGGGTTCTGCTGTCCCGCCCCTCGCAGGTTCTTCCCCACCCTCCCCGAGCTCCCGGCCTTCCTGGAATTTGGGATTTCCTAAGCGCCGGTGGAAACGAAAGCAAAAGAGTTTTGGTGCCTTTACCGCCACCGCCCCTTCCTGCCTGGACAGAGGGAAACGCGGGGACACCCTGGCAGCGACCCCAAAACCTCCCCGGCAGTGACCCCAAAACCCCCTTGGCAGCGACCCCAAAACCCCCCGGCAGTGACCCCAAAGCCCCCTTGGCAGCGACCCCAAAACCCCCCGGCAGTGACCCCAAAACCCCCGGCAGCGACCCTAAAACCCCCGGTAGCAACCCCAAAACCCCTCCGGCAGCGCTGTCCCCAGCACCAGCCCAGTCCCCAAAGGTGTCCCCAAAGGTGTCCCCCTCGCCACTCCTCACCCCCCCCCGATAAATATTTGGGGGAGCTAGAAAAAGCCGGGACCCCCATTCCCACCCCGCCCTAAAAACGCACCCGCCCCCTCTCCCCGGGCAGGAGCCGCCCGCGGGGGGCTCCGCTTTGTCCCCGTGTCCCCCCCGGGGGCTCCGCTTTGTTCCCGTGTCCCTCCGGTACCTGCGGAGCGCGGCGGGGCCGGGAAGCAACGGGAGCGGCGGGAGGAGGAGCGGGAGAGAGGGCGGGGAGAGGGAGGGAGGGGAGACCGGGAGCTGTGGGGCGGGGCCGGGGGGATGCGGGATCGGGACCGGGATTTTGGGACCGGGATGTGGGACCGGGATGGGGATTGTGGGACCGGGACCGGGATGTGGGGTCTGGTGGGGATTCTGGGACCAGGATGGGGATGTGGGACCGAGATGAGGATTGTAGGATCGGGATGTGGGATCGGGATGGGGATTGTAGGATCGGGATGTGGGACCGGGATGGGGATTGTAGGATCGGGATGTGGGACCGGGATGGGGATTGGGGGATGGGGATGGGGGACCGGGATGGGGATGTGGGACCGGGATGGGGATTGTAGGATCGGGATGTGGGACCGGGATGGGGATTGTAGGATCGGGATGTGGGACCGGGATGGGGATTGTAGGATCGGGATGTGGGACCGGGATGGGGATTGTAGGATCGGGATGTGGGACCGGGATGGGGATTGTAGGATCGGGATGTGGGACCGGGATGGGGATTGTAGGATCGGGATGTGGGACCGGGATGGGGATTGTAGGATCGGGATGTGGGACCGGGATGGGGATTGTAGGATCGGGATGTGGGACCGGGATGGGGATTGTAGGATCGGGATGTGGGACCGGGATGGGGATTGTAGGATCGGGATGTGGGACCGGGATGGGGATTGTAGGATCGGGATGTGGGACCGGGATGGGGATTGTAGGATCGGGATGTGGGATCGGGATGGGGATTGTAGGATCGGGATGTGGGACCGGGATGGGGATGTGGGACCGGGATGTGGAACCGGGATGTGGGATCGGGATGGGAATGTGGGACCGGGATGGGGATTGTAGGATGGGGATGTGGGATCGGGATGGGGATTCTGGCACCAGGATGGGGACGTGGGACCGGGATGTGGGACCGGGAAGGGGATTTGGGTCCGGGAAGGCGCTGCCGGTACCGTGGGGGCGGTTCCGAGCCCCGCCGTGCCGGGTCCGCTCCGGTCCCAGTCCGTCCCCATTGTCCCCGCGCGTGGGGCCGTGCCAGCCCCGTCCCCCCCGGAAGGGACATTCCCGGCCCTGTTCCCGGCCCTATTCCCACCCCAATCCCGGCCCCGTTCCCAGGATCCCCTCCCTTCCCACCCCGCGACACGGGAGGATGTGGCACGGCCACAAGGCCGGGGCGGGGATTTTGGGGACAAAACCCTTTTGCCACCCGCTTTTGGGGCTGGGCTGCCCCGATCCCAAATCCCCGCGCTCCCGGAACGGGATCCGCTCACCGGGCCGGGATTCGGGATGGGATCCGCTCCGGCGCCGTCACATGACAAAGCCACCAGGAAGCGCCGCCGCTCCTCTTTCCTGTCCCCATCCCCGCGCTGGCGACAACGCCACCTCGCCGAGTGTCGCCGGAGCGGGGCGGGACCGCGGGCGGATCGCGGAGCTCCTGGGAATTGTCCCCGCGGGGGCACCGGGGCTGGCACCGCGCGGGTTTGTCACCTCAGGTGGCAGCGAAAAAACCCAAAATGTGTTATCATTCCTCAGCCCAGGAGACCCCAAAGCTTGTCCTGATGTCCCGGGAATGTCACCAGCCCAGCTGACCCCAAACTCTGTCCCCAGCTGACCCCAAATCCTGCCCTGGTGTCCCTGGAGTGTCCCCAAGCAAGGTGACCCCAAACCTTCAAGTGCCACCGCCCAAGGGGACCCCAGATCCTTGAGTGTCACCCTGAGCCCTTCCATGGTGTCCCTTGGCTGTCACCAGCCCCAGGGGACCCCAAATCCTCAAATGTCACCTCCCTTGGTGACCCCAAACTGCCCCCGGTGACCCCAAACCCTTCTGGGTGTCCCTCGAGTGTCCCCACCCCAGGTGACCCCAAACCACATAAGGGTTGGATCGGGATCCCGGAATTCCCTGGGATTTGCCCCATTTGGGGTCATATTCCCAACACCAAAATTCCCAGTTTGGGAATCCTCCTTGGGAATGGCAGGGTTGTGGTCGGGATCCCGGAATTCTGTGGGATTTGTCCCATTTGGGGTTGCATTCCCAACCCCAAAAAGTCCTGGCAATCCCATAGGATCCTCCTTTGGACTGGGATCCTGGAAATCTGTGGGATCAACTGCTTTGGGGTCACATTCCCAACCCCCAAAACCCCCGGTGATCCCATGGGATCCTCCTGTTCCCAGCTGGAATTCCCATGGAAACCCCAATCCAGAGTGGGAAATCCTCACTCCGGGGGAAATTCCTGGGATGTTCCCAAATATCCCAAATGGACACCCCGAAATTCCCAGGAAATCCCAGGAGATCCCCGGAAATTCACCCCGAAGGAATTCCCAAGGGTTTGGAGGGGCTGGAGAGAGAAATCTGGGATTGGGAAAAATGGGAATGGCAGGATCCCAAATCCCAGTCTGGAATTGGGAATTCTGGGATCCCAAATCTCAATTTGGGGAAAATGGGAATGCCAGGATCCCAAATCCTAAAAATCCAATTTTTCCCAGAAAAGTTCCAGGATCCCAAATCCCAGTTCTGGGATCACAAAGTCCAAAAATCCAATTTTTAGGGTTCTGGCCAGGAGATCCCCGGAAATTCACCCCGAAGGAATTCCCAAGGGTTTGGAGGGGCTGGAGAGAGAAATCTGGGATTGGGAAAAATGGGAATGGCAGGATCCCAAATCCCAGTCTGGAATTGGGAATTCTGGGATCCCAAATCTCAATTTGGGGAAAATGGGAATGCCAGGATCCCAAATCCTAAAAATCCAATTTTTCCCAGAAAAGTTCCAGGATCCCAAATCCCAGTTTTGGGATCACAAAGTCAAAAATCCAATTTTTAGGATTCTGAGATACCAAATCCCTGTCTGGGATTGGGAAAAATGGGAATTCTGGGATCACAAATCCCACTTTGAGATTGGGAATTCCAGGATCCCAAATCCCAGTCTGGGATTGGGAAAAGTGGGAATGCTGGGATCCCAAATCCCAAAACTCCAATTTTTCCCAGATTTTTGGGCCTTGGAAAAGGAGGAAGAACTCAGAATTCCCACTGGGATTTGGGATCAGTCTTTTTCCACTGGGAAAAGGAGGGAATTTGGGATCCTGGATGGGATTTTTCCCAATTTTTCCTGCCTTTGGAACTCCCTGATCCCAAAAATCCCAGGAATCTCTCTGGAATCAGATTCCCCCCTCCTCCAGCCAGGATTTTTCCTGGGAAAAACCTCTGGGAAAAGGGAGAAGCTCTTCCCAAACTCCCATTTTTCCATGGATTTTTACATTTTGAAAAATCCAGGAATAGGATCAAATCCAGGGTGGGGTTTTTTTTGGGATAAAATCCCAGTTTGGGATGAGAGAGAGGCTGGAATTCACCCCCAGGAATCCCAAAGCCCGGAATTCCGATCCCTGCTCCAAGGATTGTTTGGAATTCTCGGATCCCACCAGGATAAACAATCCTTGGAATTCCTGCGCTCGCAATTCCCTCCCCCGATCTCAAAAGCGGCTCCAAAATTCCCTTTTCCTGCTTTTTTCCCTCTCTTATTTTATGGGATTTTGGGTTTTCCCACTGCCAGCCCCAAATCCCAGGATTTTGTGGGGCTGAGAAAGGAAAAATTTGGGGGATCTGGAGGGAATTTTGGAGTTTTTCAAGGATTTGGGCGTTTGTGGGAAAGGGAAGAGCCGGGATTTGCTCCCTTTGGATTTGGGATTCCTGGCCATGGAAAACTGGGAATTGTGGGGTGACCTCAGCTGGAATTCCTTGGGATGAGATTCCAAGAGGGATTTGGGAAATTGGGATTTGGGAAAGAAATCCCCAATCCCTTCCCAGGCCTCAAATCCTCATGGATTCCTTCCCAATCCAGGTTTTTTTTTGGGATCACCCCTCGGTTTTCCTGGGATCCAGAGGGATTTTGATCCTAAAACTTGGGAAGAGCCCAAATCCCAATTCCGGAGCCGGGAATGACTGAAAACCTCTGGAAAATCTGGGAAAACCCCAAAGAAATCAGGGATGAGGGAAAACCCTCAGAATTCCAGCAGCTCTCAGAATTCCTGGGATTAAAACTCGGTTTTTAGGGAAAATGGGATGGGAAAAAAATCCCCTGAATTTGGTGCTTTCCCGGCTCCTTGGGAATTCCCAAAAAATCCCTCTCCGTTTTTTTTCCGAGAAATCAGAAATCCCCTTTTCCCCACAGAACCTCCCCCATTCCCAGAATTTCTCCTCTGGCTCCATCCCGAGGGATTTTTCCTGAAATCCCAAAGGGATCCCGGAGTTTCCTGGGGTGAGGAGAAGCCTTGAATCCAAGGATTTTTCCCCCTCGGGGAAATTCCCAGAATTCCCGATATCTCCCTGACGCAGGAGCTCAGCCTCTGGAATTCCGGGAATTTCCGCGCTGCTCCCAAAGTTGATCCTACAGAGAGAAAAAAAAAAAATTAAAAAAACCCCAAAAAACCAAAAAACCAAACGGGATTGGGGGATTTTGGGATGAGGGAAAAGCCCTGGAAGCAGAGGAGGGGTTGAGGCTGATCCATAAAATTTTTTGGGAATGCTGAGCCGGTTCCAGCTCCAAAACTCCGGGAATTCCTTTGGGATCAAAGCCAGGAATTCATTTGGGGTCGATCTTTGGAAAAAAAAATCCCAAATGCAGGGGGATTTTTCCAGGGAAAAAGGGGGAGAGGGATTTTGGGATTTGGGAGAAATGGAGCTGATGGAAAACTGGGAACAGGGTGGGGGGGGGAATGAGGAGGGACAGAAATCCCATAAAAATTCCATATTAAAAATTCCATTTTAAAAAGAGAATTCCATAAAAATTCCATTTAAAAAAAGAGGATTGGGATAACAAAGGGCATGAAAAAACCCACAAAAATGAGGAAAAAATGGGCATGAGCCTGGAAAATTTATGGGATTTGTTCCAGGGAGTTTTCCCTGGTTTTCCCTTTTCCTTGGATGGAATGGGAAGAGCCAGGAGGGAGGAAAATGAAGGAATTTTTGGGATCTCGGTGATTCCCCATGATCCAAACCCAAATCCCATATTTTTTGGGGGGGGATAGAACTAGGAATTATCCCCGGAATTTGGGGTCTTGGAGCCTTGGCTGAGGATTTTTGGGAATAGGGGAGGAGGATCCCAGGTTGTATCCCAAAAATAAAAAGGGATTTGTGCATCCAGAGGGGTTTGGATCACCGGGAATGACAGAGACCCCAAAATTCCCAGCCTGGGAGCCAAAATTCCTTCTTTTTTTGGGATAGGAAGTGGGATCCTCCCCCAAATTCCTCATCCAAGGGGAAAGCAGCGCTCTGGAGGTTCTGGAATTATCCCTGGAATTCGGGATCCCGGGAAAAGCGGAGCCTTGGATGAGGATTTTGGGAAGAGGGGGAGGGGAAGCCACGCTCTATCCCAAATAAAAACGAAGGAATTTTGGCTCCGACCGGTTTGGATCACCGGACACCCCAAAATTCCAAGCCTGGGGGCGAGGTCAGAGCCAAAATTCCTTCTGTTTTTTGGGATAGAGCGTGGCTTCCCCTCCCCCTCTTCCCAAAATCCTCATCCAAGGCTCCGCTTTTCCCGGATCCCGAATCTCAGGAATGATCCCGTGGCGGTGTTTTCCCCTCGTTCCATCCCAAAAAGAGGAAGGAATTTTGGCTGGAATTAGGGGGTGAGAACGACCCCCCCCAAATCCCTTTTTTTGGGGGGCGTAGAACGTGACCAGGAGTTCTGGGATGATCCCTGGAATTCGGGATCCGGGGAAAGCAGAGCCTTGGATGAGGTTTTTCGGGAAATGGGGGAGGATCCCGCATTGTATCCCAAAAAACCCTGGGATTTGCGCATCCAGAGGAGTTTGGATCACAGGAGACCCCAAAATTCGAAGCCTGGGGGCGAGGTCGGAGCCAAAATTCCTTCCTTTTTTTGGGATAACCCCTCACAAAATTCCTCGTCCGAGGGGAGAGCAGCGCTCCGGGAGTTCTGGGGTTATCCCTGGAATTCGGGATCCCGGGAAAAGCGGAGCCTCTGCTCGCTCCTTATCAGCGCCGAGCCCAAACAATTCCCTCGGCTCGCGGCTCCGCGGCTCCTGCCGGGATAAACAATTCCCAAAAATCCGCCGGGAACGCTCATCCCGACCCCTCGCACCCCGGAAATGACGGGAACGCTCTCAGGGGCGCCCTTGGAATTCCAAAGGGGGGAGCTGGGCTCGTTCCCAGCGGGATAAAAACCCGGGCAGAAGCCCCGCGCTGGGAATCCCAGGGATTTTCCGCGATGCGCTCCCAAATCCGCCTCCTCCTGGCGCTGCTCTGCGCGGCCCCCGCGGCTCCGGCGCCTCCTCCCTGGGAGCCGGCGTGGAGCGATCCCAATCCCTGGGTGTGGGGGGACGAGCAGCCGCATTCCCGGTCCCATTCCCGGCCCCAGATGCCGGTGGAAGTGCAGTGCCAGGAGGCGCAGCTGGTGGTGACCGTGCACCGGGATCTGTTCGGCACCGGCCGCTTGGTCAGCGCGGCCGAGCTCAGCCTGGGCCCCGCCGCCTGCAAACATTCCCGCCTGGATCCATCCCAAAAAACCGTCACCTTCAGCGCCGGCCTGCACGAGTGCGGCAGCACCGTCCAGGTGAGTCCGGCCGGGGAATCCAGGCATTCCCAACGCCGGCATTCCCACCGGGAGCGGCTCCCGGGTCCGTGGAAATCCCTGGTTTTGAGGGAGATGCAGGTGAGTCCCGTCCTGACCCCGGGATCCCAGCCCCATCCCGCCCCTATCCCGCAATTCCCACCGGGAGCGGCTCCCGGGCTCGTGCAAATCCCAGATTTAGGGGAGATCCAGGTGAGTCCGTGTTCCTATCCCGGGATTCCCACCTGGAATCCTCCCACGGTGTCCGGGGAGGTCCAGGGGAGTCCTGTCGGGATCCCGGAATTCCCGGACGGGTGCAAATCGCAGGTTTTAAGGGAGATCCAGGTGAGTCCTTGTCCCTCCCCGATCCTGGGATTCCCACCAGGATTCTTACCGGGAGCGGCTCCTGGGTCCGTGTAAATCCCAGGTTTTGAGGGAGATCCAGGTGAGTCCCGTCCTGATCCCGGAATTCCCACCGGGAGCGGCTCCCGGGCTCGTGCGGATTCCCGGGTTTAAGGAGAGTCCCGTCCCGGTCCCGGGATTCCGCTCCTATCCCGGGATCCTCACCCGGAGAGGCTCTCGGGTCTGGGCAAATCCCAGATTTAAGGGAGATCCAGGTGAGTCCCGTCCTGATCCCGGGATTCCCACCGGCATTCCCACCGGGAGCGGCTCCCGCTCCGTGCAAATTCCAGGCTTTGAGGAACATCCAGGTGAGTCCCGTTCCGATCCCGGGATTCCGCTCCTATCCCGGGATTCCCACCTGGAACGGCTCCCGGGGTTGCCCGGATCCCAGGTTTTGAGGGAGATTCAGTTGAATTCTGTCCCGATCCCGGAATTCCCACCGGGAGCGGCTCCCGGGATCGCGCGGATTCCCGAGTCCTTGTCCCGATCCCGGGATCCCGCCCCGATCCTGGGATTCCGCCCGGGAGAGGCTCCAGGAGATCCCGAGGTATCGGGGGAGATCCGGGTGAGTCCCGTTCCCATCCCGGGATTCCGCTCCTATCCCGGGATTCCCACCTGGACCGGCTCCCGGGTCTGTGCAAGTCCCAGATTTAAGGGAGATCCAGGTGAGTCCTGTTCCCATCCCGGGATTCCCGCCGGGATTTCCCCCTGGAGCGGCTCCCGGGTCCGTGCAATTCCCAGGTTTTGATGGAGATCCAGGCGAGTCCTGTCCCCATCCCGGAATCCCCAGCTCCGGGGCCGCGCGTGTTCCCGGTTTAACGGAGATCCAGGGGCTGGATCCGGGATCATTCCACGGCAAGGAGGAGCCGCGGTTTCCTGGGAATTTGAGCGGTTTTCCTGCAGCTTTTCCCACTCCTCTGGGAAAAGGCCCTTTTCCCTCTGTTTTAATTTAACTCCCTGAAAACTGGGATTTTCCATCCCTTTCCCCCCTTTTCCACCCCATTTCCTCCCCTTTTCCATACATTTCCCCCCCTTTCCCATCCCTTTCCCCACTTTTCCACCCCTTTTCCCCCATTTCCATGGATTCCCTCAGCATTCCCAGCCAGCCCAGTGATGCTGCCAGGATGAGTGTTGACCTCTCCCACGGAATTCCCCATTTTTATTCCCAAATCACCCCGGATTCCCTCATTTCTTGGAATTCCCACTCACCCTGCTGATACTCCTGATTGGAGACCCACAGAATTCCCGGTTTTCATTTCCAGATCACCCCAGATTCCCTGATTTCTTCCAATTCCTGCTCACTGTGCATTGAGGAACCCCTTTTCCCACAGAATTCTCATTTTTTATTCCCGGACCACCTCAGGTTCCCTCATTCCTCCCACTTCCCGCTCACTCGGGATTGAGGAGCCCTTTTCCCCCGGGATTCCCGGTTTCCATTCCCAGGTCACTCCGGATTCCCTGATTTACCGGACGCTGCTGAGCTACGATCCCAGCCCCGGCAGCAACCCGGCCATCGTGCGCAGCGACCCGGCCGTCATTCCCATCGAGTGCCACTATCCCAGGTTCTCCCAGATCCCATCCTGCCTTCCCAGCAACGCCATTCCCATCCAGGATCCCATCCCACATTCTCAGCATTCCCAGGAATCCCATTCACGTCCCCAGATCCCATCCTGCCTTCCTGGCATTCCCAGGATCCCCTGGATCCCATTCCGCATTCCTGGCATTCGCATTCCCATCCCACTGTCCCCATTCCCATTCCCACTTTCCCCATTCCCATCCCAATGTCCCCATTCCCAGTGTCCCATTCCTGATCCCATTCCTGATCCCATTCCCTTTTCCAGACGGGATAACGTGTCCATTGTCCCATTTCCAGTGTCCCATTTCCAGTGTCCCATTCCTGTCCCAGTGTCCCATTTCCAATGTCCCCATTCCCATCACAGTGTCCCATTCCTAGTGTCCCGTTCCCGATCCCATTCCCTTTTCCAGGTGGGATAACATCTCCAGTGTCCCATTCCCGATCCCATTCCCTGTTCCCTTTCCCAGGCGGGATAACGTCTCCAGTGTCCCCATTCCCATTGTCCCATTCCCATTCCCGATCCCATTCCCTGTTCCCTTTCCCAGGCGGGATAACGTCTCCAGCGGCTCCATCCGTCCCACCTGGGCTCCCTTCAACTCCGCGCTGGCCTCCCAGGAGAAGCTCCTGTTCTCCCTGCGCCTCATGAACGGTGCGGGACCGGGGTTTTCCCGCCCTTTTCCCTCTTTCTCGTCCCTTTCCCATCCCTTTTCCCCCTTTTCCACCCTCTTTTTCATCCCCTTTTCCATCCCCACCTTTCCCTCACCTTTTCCTCCTTTCCCATCCCTTTTCCCCCCTTTTTGATCCCTTTCCCACCCCTTTTCTGCTTTTGGGATCACTTTGGGGTTGACTCCCTTGGGTTTTCCAGAGGATTGGAGCTCTGAGAGGGCCTTTTCAGGATTCCCCTTTTCCATCCCTTTTCCCCTTTCTCCCATTTCTCCATCCCCTTTTCCCTCTTTTCCTTCCCTTTCCCAACCCTTTTCCCCTTTTGGGATCAGTTTGGGGTTTATCCCACAGCGTTTTCCAGAGGACTGGAGCTTGGAGAGGGATTTCTCGGGATTCCCGAGCTTGGAGAGGGATTTCTCGGGATTCCCCCGTTTCCCCCTTTCCCATCCCTTTTCCCCCTTTGGGATCACTTTGGGGTTGACCCCGTGGGGTTTTCCAGAGGACTGGAGCTTGGAGCGGGATTTCTCGGGATTCCACCGTTTCCCCCTTTCCCATCCCTTTTCCCCCTTTGGGATCACTTTGGGGTTGACCCCGTGGGGTTTTCCAGAGGACTGGAGCTTGGAGCAGGATTTCTCGGCATCCCCCATTTCCTATCCCTTTTCCTCTGGGATTTTCCAGAGGACTGGAACTACAAGTGGGAATTTTTCAGCGTTCCCCTTCTCCCCTTCTCAAAAAACAAAAATGGAATAATTTCTCCTTTTGGGGTTTGTTTGGGGTTTATCCTGCTGGGTTTTCCAGGTGACTGGGGTTCAGAGAGGGATTTCTTGGTATTCCCTGATTCCCAACCCTTTTCCCGTGGGTTTTTCCATAGGACTGGAGCTCAGAGTGAGATTTCTCAGGATTCTCCCTTTCCCATCCCTTTTTCCCCTTTGGGATCACTTTGGGGTTGATCCCATGGGGATTTCCAGAGGCCTGGAGCTCGGAGCGGGATTTCTTGGGATCTCCCCTTTTCCCATCTCTTTTCCCATGACGTTTTCCAGAGGACTGGAGCTCTGAGCGGGAAATTTTTGGTGTTCCCCTTTTCCCATCCCTTTTCTCCTTTCGGGATCACTTTGGGGTTGATCCCGTGGGGTTTTACAGAGGGCTGGAGCTCGGAGTGGGATTTTTTGGGGTCCCTCCTTTTCCCATTCCTTTTCCCGTGGGGTTTTCCAGAGGACTGGAGCTCGGAGCGGGATCTCTCGGCGTTCCGCCTGGGGGACGTGCTGAACATCCAGGCCGAGGTGGGCGCCCACAGCCACGTCCCGCTGCGCCTCTTCGTCGACTCCTGCGTGGCCACCCTGGGCCCCGGCGCGGGCAGCGAGCCCCACTACGCCATCATCGACTTCAACGGGTGCGCCCCATCCCTCGGGGACATCCGGGGACATCCGGGGACATTTGGGGACATCTGGGGACGTCTGGGGATGTCTGGGGACGTTTGGGGGCGTTTTGGGGTCTGGGGGACACCCAGAGGGGGGTGAGCTCTCCCTGTGCCACTACGCCACCATCGACTTCAGCACGTGTGCCAGGGACTGCTGGGGATGTCTGGAGATATTTGGGGACATCTGGGGACATCTGGGGATGTCTGGGGATGTCTGGGGATGTTTGGGGGCGTTTTGGGGTCTGGGGGACACCCAGAGGGTGGTGAGCTCTCCCTGTGCCACTACGCCACCATCGATTTCAACACGTGTGCCAGGGACTGCTGGGGATGTCTGGAGATATTTGGGGACATCCCAGAGGGTGGTGAGCTCTCCCTGTGCCACTACGCCACCATCGATTTCAAAGCGTGTGCCAGGGACTGCTGGGGACATCTGGAGATATTTGGGGACATTTGGGGATGTTTGGGGACACTTTGGAGTCTGGGGGACACCCAGGGCGTGGTGAGCCCTCCTTGTCCCACTACACCATCATCGACTTAAACGGGTGTGATGGGGACGTCTGGGGACATCTGGGGACCTTTGGGGATACTTGGGGATGTTTGGGGATGTTTTGGGGACATTTGGGGAAGATTTGGGGTCAGGGGGAGGGTGGCAGCTCATCCTGCCCCACGGCACCATCATCAACTTCAACGGGTGCGCAGGGGACACCTGGGGACATCTGGGGATATTTCAGGGACGTTTGGGGACATTGGGGGACATTTGGGGATGTTTGGGCTCTCGGCGTTCCGCCTGGGGGACGTGCTGAACATCCAGGCCGAGGTGGGCGCCCACAGCCACGTCCCGCTGCGCCTCTTCGTCGACTCCTGCGTGGCCACCCTGGGCCCCGGCGCGGGCAGCGAGCCCCACTACGCCATCATCGACTTCAACGGGTGCGCCGGGGACATCGGGGACATCCGGGGACATTTGGGGACATCTGGGGACATCTGGGGATGTCTGGGGATGTCTGGGGATGTTTGGGGGCGTTTTGGGGTCTGGGGGACACCCAGAGGGTGGTGAGCTCTCCCTGTGCCACTACGCCACCATCGATTTCAACACGTGTGCCAGGGACTGCTGGGGATGTCTGGAGATATTTGGGGACATCTGGGGATGTTTGGGGACACTTTGGAGTCTGGGGGACACTCTGGGCATGGTGAGCCCTCCTCGTCCCACGGCGCCATCATCGACTTCAACGGGTGCGCAGGGGACACCTGGGGACATCTGGGGATATTTCAGGGACGTTTGGGGACATTGGGGGACATTTGGGGATGTTTGGGGACACTTTGGAGTCTGGGGGACACTCTGGGCATGGTGAGCCCTCCTCGTCCCACGGCGCCATCATCGACTTCAACGGGTGCGCAGGGGACACCTGGGGACATCTGGGGATATTTCAGGGACGTTTGGGGACATTGGGGGACATTTGGGGATGTTTGGGGACATTTCGGGACAATTTGGGGTGAGGGACACGGTCAGGGGGTGGTGACACCTCATCCCACCATGCTGCTCCATCATCGACTACAGTGGGTGAGTTTGGGGACCTTTGGGGACAGTTTGGGGACAGTTTGGGAGCACTTTGGGGTCTGGGACATGGTGGTGATACCTCATTACCCATCATTGGCTTCAATGGGTGAGTACAGGGACATTTGGGGACATGTGGGGACAATCTGGGGTGAGGGACATGGTCAGTGGTGGTGACACCTCAACCCATCCCACTGCTCCATCATTGACTTCCGTGGGTGGGTTTGGGGACACTTTGGGGACATTTGGGGACGTTTTGGCATCAGGGTAGGGTAGCAGCTCATCCTGCCCCACTACGCCATCATCAACTTCAATGGGTGGGTCCGGGGACATTTGGGGACAATCTGGGGACATTTGGGGACATTTTGAGGTCTGGGGTCACCCAGGAGGTGCTGAGCCCTTGTCACTTCCTCAGCCAATCTGGGGACACTTGGGGACGCTGCGGTGCCAGCCAGGACTGTGACCCTTCTGTCCCTGGGGCTGCGACCCTGCTGCCCTTGTGTCTGTGACCCCTCTGTCCCCATGGCTGTGACCCCACTGTCCCCAGGGTCTGACCCTGCTGTCCCTGGGCTGTGACCCCACTGTCCCCCACAGCTGCCTGGTGGACGGGCGCTCCGATGCCACCAGCTCGGCCTTTGTCACCCCCCGGCCGCGGCAGGACGTGCTGCGCTTCCAGATCGACGCCTTCCGCTTTGCCGGTGACTCCCGCAGCCTGGTAAGGCCCTGGGGACACGCCGGGGACACCCTGCTGTCCCCAGCGCCACCCCGGTGTCCCCGCGGTGTCCTTAGCAGTGTCCCCTGGTGCAGATCTACATCACGTGTCACCTGAAGGTGACACCGGCCGAGCAGAGCCCGGACGCGCTGAACAAGGCCTGCTCCTTCAGCAAGGCGCGCAACACGTGAGTGTCACCTCCCCTGTGTCACCTCCCCAGTGTCACCTCCCCAGTGGCACCTCCCCAGTGTCACCTCCCCGGTGCCACCTGTATAGTGTCACCTCCCTGGTGTCACCTCCCCGGTGGCACCTCCCCAGTGTCACCTCCCCGGTGCCACCTGTATAGTGCCACCTCCATGGTGTTACCTCCCTGGTGGCATCTCTGCGGTGGCACCTGCCTGGTGGCACCTGCCCGCCCTCCCTGTCACCTCCCTGTCACCTCCCTGTCACCCCGTGTCACCTCCCCCGTGTCACCTCCCCAGTGTCACCTCCCTGGTGCCACCTCTGTAGTGCCACCTCCCTGGTGGCATCTCCGCGGTGGCACCCTTCTGGTGGCACCTGCCCGTCCTGGTGGCACCGGCTGACGGTGTCACCTCCCCGCCACAGCTGGGCGCCCGTGGAGGGGACAAGGGACATCTGCAGCTGCTGCGAGCGGGGCAACTGCGGCCAGCGCGGCCCGCGGCCAGTGGAGCCCTGGAACGGCCACCGCTACCGGAGACACGACGGGGACGGTGAGGGGACAGCAGGGGACACTGTGGGGACATGGGGACACTGAGGATACCAGGGACAGAGGGACATGGGGAACTTGGGGACAGGGTGACGTGGGGACAGGGGGACAGCATGGGGACATTATGGGGACATGGGGACAGCATGACATGGGGACAGGGAGGACATGGGGACATCCTGGGGACACAGGAACATAGTGGGACAGTGAGACTTTGTTGATGGGGTGATCCCTCCTCACTGTCCCTCACTGTCCCCATGTCCCCAGGTGCCACCTCCGAAGCTGACGTTGTCATTGGTCCCGTGCTGCTCTCGAGTGCCCAGCGTGGCCAGCGCCCCGAGGGCCACCAGGGTGAGTCCTTGAGGTGACACTGGTGACACTGTGTGACACCGGGTGACACCGGGTGCACTGGGTGACACCGAGTGACTCTGGGTGACACCAGGTGACACCGGGTGACAGTGGGTGGCACCCGGTGACAATCCCCACTCCCCTCCGTGTCACTCGGTGTCCCTTCGCAGGCGCGGTGACACCGCTGGCCGTGGGGACAGCGCTGGCCTGCGCGGTGGCCGGTGTGGCCGTGGCCGGAGCTGCGCTGGCCATCGGCCTCAGGCGCCGGAATTCCCCATGAACCCCGGAATGACCGAGGGAAATCCCACAAACCCCGGAATGACCGAGGGAAATCCCATAAAATCCCACAAGGACCAATGGAAATCCCGATAAATCCCACAAGGACCTGCGGTGTCCAAGGAATCCAAGGAATGGGGTGGAGATGGCCACCAGTCCTGTCCCAGTGTCACCAATCCTGTCCAAGTGTCCCCATTCCCATCCCAATGTCCCCATTCCCAGTGTTCCCATTCCCATCCCAATGTCCCCATTCCCAATGTCCCTGTTCTCGTTCCCAGTGTCCCCACTCCCAGTGTCCCATTCCATCCCACTCTACCCATTCCCATCCCACTGTCCCCAGTCCTAATGTCCCCATCCCCATTCCCAATGTCCCCACTCCCATTTTCAATGTCCCCAATCCCATCCCGGTGTCCCCATTCTCATCCCAATTCCCAATGTGCCCATTCCTGTCCCAGTGTCCTCATTCCCAGTGTCCCCATTCCCATCCCCATGTCCCCAATCCTGTCCTGGTGTCCCCATTCTCATCCCGGTGTCCCCACTCCATTCTCATTTAAATACTGTTTTTAATGATTTGTGACTTGTCTGTATAGCAGACAACAAAGTAATGATTCACAGAGCTTCCTGGAATATATATTGTAAACTGAGATGGAGGATTAGTTGCCTCTGAGCAGTCAGCCCCCTTTTTCTGAATTTTTATTCTTCATTTGACATTTAATTTAAAATCTTGTCTGATTTAGCCTGAAAAAGTAGTAATAAAACTGTAAAGTGCTCCACCTGATAGAGGGTGAAATCAAGATGTTATTTTCAGTTAAGCTTATTCTCAAGCCTATGACAGAACCATCAGCAGCTCCTGACTTCCTGCTGAGAAAGCAATAAAGGCAAAGCCAGGAACATCTTGTCTTCAAAAGCAAACTATTATTCAGAAACAGCATTTATCTCCCTAATTCAGTGGGATGCAGCAGATAGGATTCAAAATGTCTTTTAAAAATGCACTAACATTTTATAAAGCTATTAATACACACGTAGCCACATAAACTCAGTCACTGCAGAAAACTGTGCCAGACCATGGGGATCAGCCCTGTAGGCTGCCATGAGGCTATGGAAACTTGGTTCTCTTACTGTTAATTAAAATTGTTTGATACTTGCCTTTTTTGTCAAGGTGCTCATGTGTCTATATTTCATTCCAGATCCCTTCAGGCCTTTTTATTCCTAGCATGGCTGTTGGCGCCATAGCTGGCAGGATGGTTGGGATTGGAGTGGAGCAGCTGGCATACCACCATCATGACTGGATCATCTTCAGGAACTGGTGCAGACCTGGGGCAGACTGTGTCACACCAGGACTTTACGCTATGGTGGGAGCAGCAGCTTGCTTGGGTACGGTCTCTGCTGGTCACTGGTTTGTGTGTGACAACCCCGGAATGACCGAGGGAAATCCCACAAACCCCGGAATGACCGAGGGAAATCCCATAAAATCCCACAAGGACCAATGGAAATCCCGATAAATTCCACAAGGACCTGTGGTGTCCAAGGAATCCAAGGAATGGGGCGAAGATGGCCACCAGTCCTGTCCCAGTGTCACCAATCCTGTCCAAGTGTCCCCATTCCCATCCCAATGTCCCCATTCCCAGTGTCTCCATTCCCATCCCAATGTCCCCATTCCCAATGTCCCTGTTCTCGTTCCCAGTGTCCCCACTCCCAGTGTCCCATTCCATCCCACTCTACCCATTCCCATCGAGATGGCCACCAGTCCTGTCCCAGTGTCACCAATCCTGTCCAAGTTTCCCCATTCCCATCCCAATGTCCCCATTCCCAATGTCCCTGTTCTCGTTCCCAGTGTCCCCACTCCCAGTGTCCCATTCCATCCCACTCTACCCATTCCCATCCCACTGTCCCCAGTCCTAATGTCCCCATCCCCATTCCCAATGTCCCCACTCCCATTCCCAATGTCCCCCATTCCCTCCCAGTGTCCCCATTCCCAGTGTCCCCATCCCAATCCCACTGTCCCCACTTGTGTCCCCACTCCCAATGTCCCATTCCCTTTCCCAGTGTCCCCAGTCCTAATGTCCCCATCCCCATTCCCAATGTCCCCACTCCCATTCTCAATGTCCCCAATCCCATCCCGGTGTCCCCATTCTCATCCCAATTCCCAATGTCCCATTCCTGTCCCAGTGTCCTCATTCCCAGTGTCCCCATTCCCATCCCCATGTCCCCAATCCTGTCCTGGTGTCCCCATTCTCATCCCGGTGTCCCCACTCCATTCCCAATGTCCCCAAACCCAATGTCCCCGTGCCCATCCCCAGTGTCCCTATTCCCATCCCAGTGTCCCCAACCTTGGTGTCCCCAATCCCAACGCCCCCACCCCCAATCCCAATGTCCCCATTCCAGTCACAGTGTCCCCATTCCCAATGTCCCCAGTCCCATCCCAGTGTTCCGATCCCAATGTCTCATTCCCATTCTCAATGTCCCCATTGCCAATCCCAATTTCCCCATTCCCATCCCAATGTCCCCATTCCCAATGTCCCTATTCCTGTCCCCATTCCCACCCCAAAAATTCCCAAATCCCAACCTCCGCTCTCTCCGGTGGGAAAACAGAAAAATTCCCTAAAAAAATTTATAGGATTTCCCTCCCCAAATTCCCAGAGCTGTTTCTCCCCCACCTTGGGGACATTCCCAAAAATTCCCCAGGATTTGTAGGATCACAAGGATTTTATGGGGCATTTTGGGGTCGCTGCTTTGATTCCAGCCTTGGATTCCCTCGGGAAATGGGGGGAAAACCGGAAATGCCGGGAAAATTCGGGATAAAAATGATTCCAAAGAGTCCTCGTGGCTTCCCCGCTTTTTATTGGGAAAAGGGGGAACTTTGGGAACGCAGCGGAGCCACCTCGAGAACTTCCCAGGAAAGGGGAAGGGCGACACTCCTGGGCTTCGGCTGTCGTCAGGATCTGTGGGGAAAACGGGAAAATCCTGGGAAATTCCGTGGGGAAGGGGGAAAAAAGTAAAAGCCCATAAAATTCCATGGAAAAGGGGGAAGAAAACGACCCCAAATGGGCAAATCCTGGAAAATTCCACGGGAAAGGAGGAAAAAAAGTAAAATCCCAGAACATTTCATGGAAAAGGAGCAAAATCCCAATTCCTACCACAAATCCCGTAAAATTCCATGGAAATGGAGGAAAAAAATGACCCCAAATGAACAAATCCTGGCAAATTCCATGGGAAAGGAGGAAAATCCCAATTCCTGCCCCAAATCCCAGAGAATCCCATGGAAAATGGGGGAAATCCTAATTCCCACCCCAAATCCCAGAAAACTCCATGGAAAAGGGGGAAAAAACTGACCCCAAATGGGAAAATCACAGGGAATAGGAACAAAATCCCAATTCCCACCCCAAATCCTGGAAAATTCCATGGAAAAGGAGGAAAAAAATGACCCCAAATGGGCAAATCCCATAAAATTCCATGGAAAAGGAGGAAAGTCCCAATTCCCACCCCAAATCCCAGAGAATTCTGTGAGAAAGGAGGAAAAGAATGACCCCAAATGGGGAAATCCCATAAAATTCCATGGGAAGGAGAAAAAGAAGGACCGCAGATGGACAAATCCTGGAAAAATCCATGGGAAAGGAGGAAATTCCCATGGAAAAGGAGGAAAATCCCAGTTCCCACCCCAAATCCCAGAAAATTCCATGAAAAATGGGGAAAATCCCAACCCCAAAGGGAGAAATCCCAGAAAATTCCATGGAAAATTTGGAAAACCCCAAATTCCGATTGTTTCCCTGACCTTTACCACCAAAAATGCCCCTGAAAAGCCGGAAAACAAAGAAAAAATGTGGGGGAAAAAGTGGGAAAAAAACAGGAAAAAGAGGATAAAAGAGGGGAAAAGTGGGAAGAAAGCAGGAAAAAAGGCAAAAAACACGGGAAAAAAGTGGGAAAAAAGTTGGAAAAAAGCAGGGGGAAAATGGAAAAAAAGCAGGGAAAAGTGGGAAAAAGGGACAAAGTGGTTTTTTTGGGATGGGGTTTTTCTGGGATTGGTTTTTTTTTTTGGGATCAGTGGTTTTTGCCATGGGTGTTTTTTCGGGATCAGGGTTTTTTGGGATGGGGATTTTATGCCATGGGATTTTTGGGATGGGAGTTTTTGGGATCCGGGTTTTTCTGGGATTGTTTTTTATTTTTTTTTTGGCATGGGGATTTTTTCGGATGGGGATTTTTTGGGATGGGTTTTTGGAATTGGGTTCTTTTTGGATTAGGATTTTTTTAATTGGTTTTGGGTTTTTTTGGAATGGGGATTTTTTGGGATTGGGGATTTTTTGGGATGGGTTTTTTGGCATCAGGGTTTTTTATATATATATATTTTTTTTTTGTTATGGAGATATTTTGGGATGGTTTATTTTTGGGATGGGGATTTTTTGGGATTGGGGATTTTTTGGGATGGGGCTTTTTAGGATGGGGATTTTTGGCATCAGGGAATTTTTTGAATTTTTTTTTTTTTTGATGGGGATATTTTGGGATGGTTTATTTGGGATGGGGATATTTTGGGATGGTTTATTTGGGATGGGGATATTTTGGGATGGTTTATTTGGGATGGGGATATTTTGGGATGGTTTATTTGGGATGGTTTATTTGGGGTGGTTTATTTGGGGTGGTTTATTTGGGATGGTTTATTTGGGGTGGTTTATTTTGGGATGGGGATATTTTGGGGTGGTTTATTTGGGGTGGTTTATTTGGGGTGGTTTATTTGGGCGCAGCAGCTCCGTACTGGGCGATGCGGCAGTTGGAGGCGGACACGAAGCGCCCGGTGTAGTGGATGTGGCAGCGCACGACGTTGTTGGTGAAATCCGACTCCAGCACCAAATATTTGGGATTGACCTGGACCTGGGATGGGGGGGAGGAAAAAACGGGCTGAGAAATGGGGAAATCGGGCAAAAAAATGGGAGGAAAAATGGAAAAATTGGGAAAAAAATGAAGAAAAAAAGGCAAAGGGGAAAAATGGGGGGGAAAAATGGGGAAAAAAGA